CTGTCACCCATGAATAAACACTATGTCCAGTGAGGGATGAAGGAGAGGAAATAAAGACATTCTCAGACAAATTGTCTGAGGGAATTTGTTGCTAGCAGAGCTACCCTTCTAAATGGCTAACAGCAGTCTTTCAAACATAAAGGAAATGATAAAAGGATTCTCACACCAGCAGGAAAAAAGAACAAAAAAGTAGACATATGAGCAGGTGTACAATGAATTATTTAGTGATGGAAACAAAAATTATATACCATCTGATAATCAAGAAAAAGATATTTAAAAATGAGGAGAGAAAAGGGATATATATGGAAGTAAGTTTTCATACATTAAAATGGTAAAATGTTAATACAAGTAATTGTTATGTTACATATGATATTGTAATGTCTAGAACACTAAAAAAACTCTACAATGTGATATATTCAAAGACGCTATAATTCAGAAACCAAAAAGGGTTCAAGTAATCCACAAGGAGGTAAAAAAAAAAAAAAAAGAGAAATAGAAAAGAAATAGAGGAAGAAACAAAAATAAAATAGATTTATGTCATAAACGTATAATTACTTTAAATGTAAATGTTCTAAATGAATCAGCTAAAATGCAGATATTTGCAAAGTAGTAATCCAATAGTTTAATATGCCAGTAACACTTCAAATGATGACAGGAATATTGCGAGAGGTTGGAGAGTGGTTTACCATGCAAGCAATAGTTTTAAAAAACATAGGAGTGGTAAATTCATTCCAGATAAAGCAGACTTCGGAGCAAAGAAAATTAATATAGAAAAAGAGGGGTACTATGTAATGATAAAAGGATAAATCCACCAGAAAGACATAAGATTCCTAATGTACCAAAAAACAAGAGAGTCTCAAAATATATTAAGCAAAACTTGAAAGAAGAAATATACAAATACACAGTTCCACTGAGTTGGGGGTTTCCATTCATTAGTTTCAGCAGTTGAATCATGAAACAGAATATCAGTAAGGATAAAAAACTGACAAACACAACCACCCAACAGGATCTAATTGAAATATGCAGAATGTTTCACCCAATAATAGCAGAATAAACATTTTTTATTTAAGAGCCCATGGAACATGTACTAACATAGGCTATGTCCTAGGCCACAAAATAAACTCCAACAATTTTTAAAAAATTAAAATCATATAGAATCCAACCCCAAAATCATTAACAGGAAGACAAGAAAAACATCTTCAATAACTTGAAATTTAATACATTTCCAACAATCCACAGGTAAAGAGAAATTCTCTCCTGGGAATTTTTTAAAAAGATACAAATGGGGCCTCCCCGGTGGCGCAGCGGTTGAGCGCTGGGTTGCGAAGCTGCCTGCAGCCTCTGCAGCGCCAGTTCGATCCCCTGCTGCTCCCCGGCCACTGGAGGAGGGTCCCACATGGCACGCAGACCTCTCCTGCCGCTGCTCCCCTCAGCAGTGTGCTTCGGTCCTTCTGCCTGTTCTGCTCCCCACTCTGGCTCTGGTGAATTCTCTCACCCTCCTGCGCTTCTGACTGTACCCAGTGCTTGTATAAATAATAAATAAATAAAAATAAATCTTTTAAAAAAAAAAAGATACAAATGAATGAAAATGAAAATACATGTCAAAATATGTGGATGCAGTCCAAGAATTGTAAGGGGGAAATGCTACTTCTAAATGCTTATATTAGAGAAAAAAAAAAAAAAGCTTCAAATCAATAATCTTTACCCTTAGAAAATTTAAAGAAAAAATAAACCCATAGTGAGTGGAAGGGAGGAAATAATACAATGTATAAATCAATTAAACTGAAAAAAAAAAGAAAATAAATTTAAAAGAGATCTATTTGAAAAATGTTAATAAAATGACAAACTTAGGATAAAATTGATAAAAATAAAAAAGAAATGCACAGATCACCAACATCAGGTATAAAACAAGAGATGATCAACTGAGAGCCTACTCCCGTTAGAGGGCTAATAAGTGAATAATCCAAATAACTTTATGCTCATAAAACTGACAACATAGAATTAATAACTTCTTCAAAACACACAAGCTATTGAAACTCAACCAAGATGAAAGAGACAACCTGAATAATCCTGTATCTATAGAATTGAATGAGAAATTGAATTAACAGTTTTAAAAGCTTGTAAAAAAATCTTTATAGACAGAGATTTTACTAGAGAATTTTAAGCACTTATAGAAAAAACTTCTTAACAAATATTAGCAAATTAAATCCAGCAATGTTTAAAAAAGTATACACCATGATGAACTGCAGTTTTTTCCAGGTATGCCAGTCCAGTTCACTCATTATAATCAGCATATAAATAGGCTGAAAAAGATCAGTTTGAAAATAAGTCAGTATAATCCAGTATATAAACAGACTGGAGAAAAAAAGATTGTCTCAATTGACGCAGAAAAAACACGACAAAATCCAACAACACCCATACATGATAGACACTCAACAAATTAGTAATAGAGTAAAACTTCTTTAGATGATTAAAAAAAATCTACAAAAGCCTATAGTTCACATCATATTTAATGGTAAAAGAATTAATGCTTTCCCTGTAGGAACAAAAGAAAGATAGCACACTCACCACTTTTATTTAACATAGGACTGTAAGCACCAACCACTGCAATGAAGCATCAAAAAGGCACAAGGATTGAAGAGGAAGAAATTTGAAAAATATTTACAGACAACAGGATTATAAATGTAGAAAATGGCAAGGAATCTACAAAATGAAAACCAAAACAAGCTCTGAAGAGTAAGCTTAGCAAAGGTTGCAGAATACAAAATCAATAGACAAAATAATACTTCTACTTACTAACAACAAATATAGAAAACCAAAAAGCTAACTTTTGCAATTGCTTCAGAGAAAATTACTTAGGCATAAACTAATATAACATATACAGTATCTATATCCTGAAAATAACAAAAATGAATGGAAAAACATACCATGTTCGTTGAAGAGAAGGCTCATTATAGTAGACACCCGTTCTCACCAAATTGATCTATAGGTTTAAGGCAATTTCCATTAAAACAGCAAGGTGTTTTGTAGTCATAGACCATCTATTCTAAAATTCATATGGAAAGGCATGGGACCTACAATAGCTAAAGCAATTTTGAAAAAGAAAAAGCAGGAGGAACCTCTCTACCAGAAGTGAAAGCTTGTTAAATAGCTACTGCATTAGCATAATATTGATGAAGGGGTAAATAAAAGATCAGTGGAATAATTAAGGAATTCAGAAACAGACCCACATGAGGAGGTCTAAATAATTTTTTTCAAAGGTACAGGAGCAATTTATTGGAAGGACAGCTTCAATAATTGGTGCTGGAGCAACTGCACTGTTAAGCATTTATCTCAAAGAATGAAAACTTACAGTCATATAAAAAAGCCTGTACAAAAAGCGTTCACAGTGGCATTATTTGTACAGCCCCAAACTAGAAAGAACTAGATACCCTTCATATCCTTACATGAGTAAGTGATTAAACTGTGGTATAGCCGTACCATGGCATACGACTCAAAAATAAAATGGAATGAACTTTGAAACATGAAACAACTTTGATGGATCTCAAGAAAACTACACTGAGAAAAAGTCATTCCTTAAATGTTACATATTGCATGATTTCATTCATAGTGCATTCTTGAAATTACAATTGCAGAGATGGAGAACACAAATTATGGATTAAGAGTGGAGGGTATCTGTGACTATAAAAGGATAGCACAGGGGGCCGACCCTGGTGGCACAGGTGGTTGAGCGCCACTCTGTGAAGCTGTCTGCAGCCTCTGCAGCGCCGGTTCAATCCCGGCCGGCCGGCGAGGGTCCCACATGGCGCTTCAGATTTCTCCTGTCTTGCCCGCTGCTCCCCTCAGCAGTGTATTTCGTCAGTCTGCCTTTTCCGTTAACCCGCTCGGTCTCTAGTGAATTCTCTCACCCTCCCACACATCTGGACTGTACCTGCGTTCTTGTATAAATAAATAAATAAATCTAAAAAAAAAAAAAAGGATAGCACAGGGAAACATTCGACTGTTCTGATCATATAAATCTACACGTGATAAAATTGCATATAAGGCATACAGGTGTGTACACACACCGGACAGCATGTTAACTGCTGAAATCTGAGCAAAGTTGATGAATTGCATGCATGTAGATTTGTGACACTGTATAATGGTTTAATAGATTTTACCACTGGAAGAAATTAGGTGAGGGGTATATGAAACTCTATTATTTCTTACAATTGCATATTAATATAAAATTATCTCAAAATAAAAAATTTTAAATAAAGAACATCTATTAAAATTCAAAAACTATGGGCCTCCCTGGTGGTGCAAGGGGTTAAAGTCTCAGCGCTAGCAAGCTATCAGCAGCCACTGCAGCAAGACTTCTATCCCAGCCAGGGAGCTAGCCCACATGGCACAACAGACCTCTCCTGTCTCACCCACTGCACCCCTCAGCAGTGTATCTCAGTTAACCTGCTTTGTTCTGCTCCCCATTCTGTCTCTGATGAGTTCTCTCCCCCTGTGCACTCTGGCCAGTTCTTGTATGCATAAACAAACAAATCTTTTAAAAAGATTCAAAAACTACAATCACCATCATAACTTTCTAAGCTGAAACTTGGCAACTTGAGTTGGGAAATCATCAGTATTTATCTATTCAACACCCATATTAGGCACTTTGCTAGATGACCAAGATTCAGGGATGAAAAGAGCTGTCTTGGATTGTGTCCTTTGTGAACTGTCAGACTAGGATATATGAGAGTAGTTCAATGCATGAAAAGGGTCATTACATCATTAGTCATATATATGGGAACTGGACTCAAATTTCTAACGATAAGAGAAAGGTTAAACAAGTTTTGGAATACAAAATGCTCATTAAAATGATTATACCATTTAACAGGATGGGGCAAGATTATTTAACATTAATGGAAATACCGAAAACAAAATCATTAGTGTGTAATAATTAATGACAACATGTTTTTATATGAATAAACTTTTATTGAATTTTAGATAATTAGAAAGAATAAAGAAATGCAAGATAAATGCTTTCTAAATAACATCTGATAGTAGCATTTTTTCTGTTCATAGTATTTTCACTTTTGTTTATAAAAAGTATAGACATTCATTTATTTAAATTTTTACAAAGTCAAGAACCATCAAGTGGAGAAAATAAGTAATACTAAAGGAAATTCAGCTTTCCATCAATATTGGGATGGCTGCAATGGTTAGGTTCTGAGTTTAGCCCTCTGAGAAAAATAGCACATGCAGCAGCTGATGGTTTCTGTTTATTCCAATAAGTGAAAATCAGGAGGCCACTCCCTGTGATAACTGTGCTTGCAGGAATGAGGGCAAAAAGCACAGTGGGAAGAGTGAGTGTGAGACAATTCTGGGGGTGGGGGGGTGGGGGGGTGTGGAAGCCGCTCTTTTCAAATCATTATCAGGTTCAATGTTGTAAACAATTTGGGAAACAAATCTGGGAAGAAATCATTTGTACATTGCTTAATGTGTGACTTAGAAGAGATATTCACCAAAACAAGTTTGACGAGATCTACAATGCACAAAATAGAGTGAGGATTTTGTAAAATATCTGGTGAATGCACGGCCATCCAAGCCAGATAACTCATCAAAAAAGGAGTCTTTTTATAGTGGTGTAAAATGCATTTGAGCAAAATTGCAAACCTGAGCTGTGACAAATATAGGGCAGTTCTCCCAGGAGCATACCTTAAGACATACCTTTTGTCTCAATCTTATCTCTTGTGAAAATAATTACTTTGAAAACAAAACAACCCCTGTGCTCCCTGTAACAACCCACTAACATTTACTTGTCAAACAAGGAGAAAGTCATCTACTGACAAATGAAAGGCATCAGGTACTGCCTCATTAGGAGGAAGCTAGTGTGATATTGGGGGAGGCCTGAACAGCCCTGCACAGGGGCTGCCCAGAATGCCAAAGCCCCTTCCACCTGCCTTCCCGCCCGCCCTGTGCTGCCCACATGACCCTGCTCTTTCAGGATGGATCTCCTGTGGGGCTCCAGGAACACAATCACAGAAGTAACAAGCATCTTTTCTTTCGTGGCCCAGTGTCTCTTGTATCTTTTTACTAAAAACCACATTTTCTTTAAAAAAAAAAAATGTTTTCCAGGAAATAATGAACAGCATCTGTCATGGACCTATAACAGACCCTAGAAAAAATGCAGACAGGCAAGAATCTGTCAATATAGTAATATTCCAAATATGAAATTTATGGTTCAGGAAGAGATAAATAAATAAATATGAAAGGGTTTCTCAAAGATGTACTTTTGTTTTTCCCCCATTTCTTACTGAATTTTGTTTGTGTAAAAAGTTCTGATTCTATGATACAAGAGCCAACCCTGTTATGACCAACATTAACCATTTATGCCATCAAACCCTCCATACAAAGAAGGAATGGAAAGAGGCAGAACAAATCACAGGATCGTTCCTTATTTTTTCTAAAGACACCTATCTTTTTAAATAATTTCATTATTTAAATTCCATCTGGCACTTTAGTCTCTTGGAAAAATATTAAGTTAGGCATGAATTAAAGAACAAGCCCCTCTGGGCTGCAGTTGCGATTTTAAGTGCTATCCTGCTCTTTTATCTTTTTTTCTTGGCTTTTGGCACATCTTTGAGATCCAGCTTTGTGAACAGAACCCTAGGACAGGGCGGTGGAAAAACAAGTCTTCGTGATGGCGCATTTCAGTTCATTTCCCAAAGCTCAGTGACCAGGCCACTCAATGCCTGCTTCTTTGTGCTTTTTACTAGTATCATGATCAGGCAAGTGGATCCTTCCTAGCACTCTCCCACCCCACCTGCCCCCTTGCATGCGGGCATCCCCCGATTCTTCTCTGTCTCTGCACTCATATCCTATACCAGGGACCCGGCCCGACTCTGGGCTGGCACCATCACGGGGACTGCACCAATTCGCTCCAGGGTTGCTTGGCTCACGGTATAAGAGTGTATGTGCGGAGGCCGAGGATTCCTGCTGACCGAGCCGTTGCTCCTGGACATGACCTGCGGTGACGACCCTCTGTTGGCTGTCACTACCAGAGTCTTGTGTGGAGCTGGGGCCAGGTGGCTCCCGTTAGCATATATGGAAGGTACAGTGGCATTGCCCGAGTGGAGAGAGAAAGACTGGCGCAAGTCACTGAAGTGGTTGAAGGACTCTGTGTTCCTGTGAACTTTGGGCTTGTTGCTCCAGTATCGGCCATTGTAGGTATTAGAAGAGGTCAGTGTGTTGTTCTCTGAGGAGGATACCTCAGTGTGGAAGGCTTTGGCAGAAGAACATTTAGGTGGAAGATCATCCTCTCTGAAACAGGAAAAAAAAAAAGCTGTTGTTAGGATGAACTTGAGATTACCCTACCCTCCTGCCCAGGACTTGGTTCTCACATTAAGGGCAAGGTGTCTATAAAATACAAACCCTCAGGTCAGACCACATTATCATGAAAGCTGAACCGGTTTTGACAAATTCATTCCCTTGGAGACAATGCTCAAGAAAATTTTCCCTCAGCTTCTCAGTCTTCAAGAATAGGAAAGGTAATAGCAAATATCCCAAAGACAGTCTTCCAATGTAACTGAAATATATACATGGATGTATGTGTGCGCATATGTGTCTATATGCACAAATACATATATAAATATAGATGTGTATAGATGTGCATGCCTGTGTGTGTGTTTTAACGGTGGATGTGGGGGACTTCAAGAAATTATTAGAGTTGGCCTGATTTTGTTGTGGTTTGGGATTGAAGAAGTCATTGTCATGGGCTGATGAAAGGTTTTTCTAGTAATCTCACGCTGGGATGAAATCCCTACCTATATTAAGTCCAAACTCTTAAGAATTACAAGAGGCTAAGAGAAGTCATTAACTGAACATAATATGTCAACTAATTATTTAACATTTATTGAGTACCAGGCATTCTACTAGATGCTTCATGTAAAAAATAAACCACTCCTTTACCCAAGAAGCTTATGATCAACTGGGGTGATAATCAGTATAGAAACATCTGCAAGTTTGAAAGGCTGAACAAGGGACTAAAGTCAACTTAGGTGAGGAGGTAAAATTAGTCTTGAATCACATCAAGGAACTTACTGAAGAGATGGATAAAAAGGGAAGGAGAATGGTCCAGGAGGAGAACAGATGTTAGAGTAAAGCATGAGAAAATGCAGAACAGACTGGAACACAAAGTGATCAGGGAAGTGGTGAAAAGTTAAGTCCAGGGAAGCAGGGGAGAGTCATATCTGAGGGCTGAATGTCATGCTAAGTAGACTGTCATTAAAGCATATTCAATAAGGATGTGATATGCTGCAATCTGAGTGGGGTATGACCCCCATTAAATTTACCCCATTTCGACATTGGCTGCTTTTTTTCTTTTTTTTTTTTCCTACTGAGTGGTGCTGGCTAATCTAATGATTCCCAAATCTTTCCCACTGAACACTTCCCAATACCAGGTTCCAGAACACTGCCATAGCCAAATACAGTTCTTCCTTTGCAACATAAACTACTGACCACATCTGAGATTGAGAAGTCCTTCCCTCATCTTCAGTGGTCATCAGTGACTGTCCTACAAAACCAGCTTTCTTTTAATCCTTTTCCAGGACTTCCATCTCTTCCTGTCCCCAAGACCCCCTTCTCAGAAGTTCTCTTTTCCATTTTCTACACTTCCATGGTGACCTCATCCACTCTCTCACCTTCAACTATCACTTTTAGGTCAATGACTTCTATTCTTTATCTCCACTTCTGACCACTTTCTTAAACTGCAGCTCTACATTCAGCTTGGCATTATCAGCTGCTTGCAAAACTTTCATCTGGCTGTCCCACCAACATTTTTGCTCACACATTCGCCTTTTATATCCCTTGTCCCTCTCTCATCCCCCTCCCTCTTAACCTCAGAGGCCTCAAGTGTTTGTTAAAGTTCACTAGTTTTCCTATTTTACTTTAGCAAATCCTTTATTATGTAAATATCCAGTTTTGTTTTTGTCACTCTTACTTGCTTTACTATGCCACAATTCCCTCAAACTCCATCCATTTCACTGTAAATGGCTGCATACAGCTGAAGAGTTTTCCACAGTGTGGATATACCACATCTTCTCGATTCAATCATCTAATGATGGATATTTATGCAGCTTCCACATCCTACCTATTGTAAGTAGTGCTGCAATAAACACTGTAAAGCAAGTAGTTTTTTGTGTTGATGATTTCATGTTCTTTTGATAGATGCCCAAAAGTGAGACAGCTGGGTATTTCTACTTTCAGTTTTTTAAGGTAAATCCATAATGGCTGTACCAGTTTACAGTCCCACCTGTCTACTAAGGCAGTGACCTAAACCTTATTATCCTAGAGTTACGGGAGGGGAAGGGAAAATTCTCCCCTTGTGTCCTCCTAGTTGGGCACATGCTAGACCCTCCTCCCCTTTTGTGATTTAGTAAAGAAAGCTGAGTAGTACCATAAGGAAACGTGATATAAGATACAAGAAAATATCACTGATCACTTTCTCTTGACAGTCATAAGACTAGCAAAGAACCCCCAGCTGGCAAAATAAATCAAAATACAGACATTGGACAACAGGACAAATTATCTAACACACACGAACCTTATTTCATTAGGGATTTCTTCCTCCTCCTCCTCTTTATTTTTGTTTCTCCAGTAAAAGAAAGCCCCTAAAATTAGTGCAATGCAAAAAATGATAATAACAGCACCAGTGCCAATGGCTCCAGCTATTACTCCAATGCTTCTGGGCTGGGCTGCAAAATATATTTAAGGCATATTTAAGAACCAAAAAAAAAAAGAAGAAGAAGAAAGAAAAAAGAAAGAATGTACTTATACAACTTTATAAACATATATATTTACCAAAGAATCTTCCTGAAGTGCATAACTGTCTAAAGTATTGCATTCATAGAAATTTAAATCTCACTTAACTTTCTGTATCCCCAGGGGCAGGACTAACACAGCAGGCAGACACTGACTGAATAAACAAGGCACTCAGAGCTGCAGGAGGGCCACAGCCAGAGCAGAGCCACCCAACCTAACCCACCCACGTGTACCCTGGCAGGATGACTTGTCCTCGTCCCAGTTAGATCATTCCCTTTGGCAAGTGCAATTCAAATAGCCCAGAATTCTCAACTAAAGAGAAATTTTCTGCACTGCTTATTTAAGACCCAGGTGCCCAAAAATTAAGTACATGTAATTAGGAAATGTAATTAGGAAAAAAGTAACAAATAAATCTTGTCATAGCCATAAGATCATTACAGATTTTTATAGTGTCTATAGATAAACACTATACAATTTTATAGTGTCTATAGATAAACACTATACAAACCCATTTGGTTCTAATGACAGTGAAGATAAAGACATTTTGCCATAAAGATGTCATATTGCTGAGGCGCAATTATAAAAAAAAAAACTTTTCATAAAGATTAAAAGAATTTTTATTAATAGTCAACCTAGAAACAATTAACTCTTCATTCCCAAGCTGAAAAAGGATCTTAGCATTTCTGACCCAGAATAGACATCAGAATTTTACATACTTACGTGAAATAACCTGGAGATCCAAAAGACAGGTGCTGGTCCCAATGGCATTGGAAGCCACACACTGGTATAAACCTGAAGACAAAGCGCTGATGTTCCGGATGGTGACTGTTCCCTGCACCTGGTCTATCACAAAAATAAGAAAACCAGAGAAATCAGCAGAAGACATGACTATAAAAATACATTACCACTAAAGAACTATCAATAACTTGTTGGTTCATGAATGTGAAATATTAAAATCGCATTATATTACAGCCTGAAGCTACAGAGGAACATCCCAAATAAGGACAACCTCCAACTTAATCTGCAAATTAGCATGATGTCCTAAACATTATACCAGAAGGCAGCTAATGCCTATCCCAAAGAACCCATACACAGTAACACCAAATTTCAATTCTGAGGAAATGCAGTAACATAAAGATGAAGTTAAATTCATTAAGACAATGTTCACTTGATGCTTCATGGAAAAAATATTCACTCTGTGTCCAAGGTTTAGACTGTTATTCCATACCAACAACTCCTGTAACATTTGTTTAAGTCCTGATCCCCCAAGTAGCAGACACCAAAACAAGCAAAGGCTTACTGGAGGAAATACCAGGAAAGGAATGGAGAGGAAGCTGGAGAATATGGGGGGAGCTTAGTCTGCAGTGTAGGTCTGGTCTCAGAAGGAAGGAGGGCTGGGTAGGGAGCATCTACTGCAACAGTTTTTTTTTTTTAAAGATTTATTTATTTATGCATACAAGAGCTGAGGTACAGGCCAGAGATATAGGGGATGAGAGGGTTCACCATAGTGGGGAACAGAACAGGCAGATTGACTGAAGTACACTGCTGGGGGAGCAGTGGGCGAGACAGGAGAGGTCTGCTGCGCCATAAGGGTTTCTCTCTGGCGGGCTGGGGATTGAACTCATGCTGTGGAGGCTGCAGATGGCTTCATGGTGTGGTGCTTAACCCCTTGCGCCACCAAGGAGGCCCCTACAGCAACAGTTTTGAGGACATTTCACCAGGCTGTTGGGGAGTGCTTGAGTCCAAGTTACCTAATACAGGAGTCCTTGCAGCAATAGTCCTGCACTGGTCGTCCCACTGTGCTGTTACTGGCTGGGAGCAGCCCAGGAAAAGACTAGCCTGAGTGCAATGCAGCTGGGGCTGCCTCATCTACCTCGTTCCTTCCCCACAGCAGAGGGTCCGAGCAGTGCATTTTTAGGGCCACCACACTGATATTACAAAGAAGTGTTTAAGTAGTTCACATTTTAGTAATTTATCAACATTAGCAGAGATTATTCCTTATAAATAGAATGCAAACTATTTATAGTAATCATGAAAATTAAAGCTAATGGTTATTACTATACGCCAGGCATTGGCTAAGTTTTTATATGTATTGTCTCAATCTTTACAATGACTCTAACCATGTACTGTTGTTATGGATTAGGAGATTGAGGCTTTAGATGGGTAATAGGATTACACAGAATTGGAATGGGATGGAAGGCTGCCATACCTCTAAGCCCCAGGCTTCCCTACTTCCTGTAGGCAGAGCACAATACACCAAGCCATCTCAAACACTCAAAATAACTGCACATCTAGGAGCAAGAAGAAAAGCCCCCTAATATCATATGTTTCGTACAAAGTCCATGTTTCCTTTGGGCAACATCTAGAGCTACCTTCCGTGAGCTGACTTATTTTTATACAACACTGAGATTTATCTTGTTTCTGCTGGCAACCTCCATTTCTATCTAGATTGACTTGATCAATGGCAGAACCAAAGGGGTCAGCAAAAGCAGCCCTGACCACAGGCTGCATGCATTTATGTATTAAGTCACTTAACAAATTTTTGTTGGGAACCTTTCTATGTGTCAGGCAATTTCTGAGGATAGTACTGCAGTGAAGAACAAGACAAACCCAGCCTCTTTCCTCAATGAGACAAGTAGGCAAGCAATCACAATAAATGGGGTAAGTGCTTGTATTCCAGAACATAGTTCTAGGGTGCACATACGGGCATCTGATGAGGATGAGTGAATTCTGAATACTGCTAAGGCACTGAGAGCATTCAGGGTTATCTCTATGCTTTCAAACAAAATATAGTGGATAGTGTTAATAAATGACTTTGAATCATCAAGCACACACTGGAATTAACTTCGATATAGAGCCCAGGGAAAGGAGCCTTTCTTGTTTTTGTTTTTTATTAATGAGAACACTTATTATTTTCTTTTTTCCTCTCTGCTTCATGATCCTCTCCCCTGCACTCTTGCTGTGCTGTGATTGTATCACCCAATAAGCCACATCATGAACTCTTTGCCCAGGGCTCTGTTTTCTACTCAACTTGTATCATAAAAGTTTAAATGTCAAAGGAATATAACTTTGGAAAATTAAAAATATCCTTTCATAAACTTAACTGGCAATTGTTGTGGATGAACCACAACAATTTCTGAGCTCTCCTGAGTCCTGGCACTAGGGAAAAGAGACAGGAGTAAGCCAGAAAACTCTATTACTCTCATCATGGGCCTCTGCCCTTCAGTCCAGTTTTCTTTTCCCCAACACCCTCATTTATACCCGTTAGACCCTTTCTCCTTCCCCCTTTCCTTTCGCCATCAGAAGCATAACTTCCTTTATTTGTGTCCACTGGTTTTTAGGAGTATTTTACTTTGTCAAATCATCTACTATGTAAACATCAAATATTTGTCTTTGTTATTTGGACCTGCTTTATCTCACATAATATCCTCAAAACCCTTCCATTTTGCTATAAATGCAACATTTTGTCTTTTTTTCTTTTTTTAACTGAATAGCATTCCATTTTGTGGCTATACATCTTCTCAACTCATTCCCTTATCAATGGATACTGAGGTTGTTTCCATGTCCTAGCTATTCTGAATAGGGCAGCAATAAACATTGTAGGCACATTAATTTTTCAGTTGATAGTTTCATGCTCTTCAGAGAGGTGCCCAAGGGTGGGACTGCTGGGTCATCATGTATTTCCATTTTTAATTTTTTAAGGTAAATCCAGATTGCATTGCAAAATAGCTCACCAGTTTACACTCCTACCAACAGTGTGATAGGGTTCTTCCTTCTTTGCATCATCTCAGCGCTTTTTATTGGGGTCCTATTAATATGCCATTCTCACAGGTGTGAGATGATATGCCACTGTGGTTTTGACACATCTCCCTTATTAAAAGCAATAATGAACATTTTCCCATATATCTACTGGCCTCTGGATGTCCTCTTTGGTGAAGGTCTTTTCAGATCTGCTGCTCATTTATTAATCTGGTTATTTGTTTTTCTATTGTCAGATAACATAATGCCCTTAGTGTTTTTCCTTTTTCTTCAGGATTGCTTTTGTTCTGTGAGGTCTTTTATGGTTCCATAGCTCCATATAAGTTTTAATATTTTTTGTTAAATTTCTTTGAGAATATTGTTTGCATTTTAAAGGGGATTATATTAAATTTATATATCTCTTTTGGTAGAATAGTAATAATGAGAGCATTTAGAGAGTGAAACCCACATTATGCAGGCATTCTGATTATCCAGAAGAACATGATGCTTGATGAATTTGGACATTTGGATTATATTGTACACATCCAGATCAATACACTTGATGATTACCTGTGCTGCACTTGCATAGTATTTCTTTTTCTTAAAAACAAACAACTCAGAGGATATCAACCTGGTGGGCCTTTCAGTGAGTTCACTCAGATACTTGGGCATCTGGAAGAAACTGTTTCTACCTTTTCACATTCTGTATGATTTCCAAGGTCCCCATTAAATTCCCCTTCTATGTGCTCCCTAATGCTAACATTACTCCACTTATGGTAATTTCTTACCTGTTTATCTCATTAAGATAAGGGACTGGATTTGTCTTGTTTGTCCTTATCATCACCATTACCCAGTACACAGGAAAGTGCTCAATAAATAAAGGGGCTACCTTCTCTTTAATTTCTATTGTGTACCACATGCACTGTACCAAGAACTTTACAAATGTCTCATGTAATCTTCATGACAAGCTTGGGTTTTTTTTATTCCTACTAGCCAAAGATGAAAAAACTCAAACAGAATAAGCAATTTATTGAACATCACACAGAAAACAGCAGTCTATAAAAATCAGGTCCATCCATCTCCAAAGCTCATAATCACAATTACATCCCTGGGTGTCCAGTATGGCATTAAAAACTATCATATTTCATATGGTGCATCAATAGGACATTTCCTAACTATGCGATGTTTCCATGTTATTAGTACTAAATTAAATCATCTCCCTAACTCAATTTTCAATACATGCCCTAATGTCATCATGAAGAAAACCATAATCTCTGGGCAACTAAATCAAAAATTCTACACATTGTACTGCTGTTTTCCTAAGCCCTGAAATTCTAGGAATTTGATCAGTTTAGACTGAACCAGTAATTTTGTTGACATTTCCATAGATATAATTTGGGAAATTTTAAACAACAGCCATTCTAAACAGCATTCTGGTATGTAGAAAGAGATAAACTTTATAGATTCTTGCTTTAAAAAGTCTATTAAAGGTGAAGTTACTGAACTTCCCTCTGCCTCTATGTATGCAGACACCATGAGCAGACAGATGTAAGAAAGTATTCTTAAATGATGTTGACATCCATGCCAGCACTAACTCAGAATGTAACCAGGGAAGGAGACAGACACATTGATCAGAGAGGCTTAACCAGAAGCAAAACTGGGCTGTCTATGTCTCAAGGCCAGACTAGGGGGGCACCTTTATAGCCAGTAATAGCCAGTAACAGACTATTGCCAGCCACCAGCTTGTGGCCCTCTCTGAAACAAGGACTGGTTGCTCAATCTGTCACTTCACTTGGCCTGTTTTGGCACAGAAGTAAACTGTTGGAATGAAATTAGAGAATAAATGTTCTTCTGGCTTTCTTTCTTTTAGAGACTAGGGAAAATTCAATTATGTGGAACTATAGTTTGGAAAGTGCAAATAACACTACACTGTCTCCTCTTTCAGTTCATACAACACAGTGCCCCCACACAAGCCCTGCACCCAGATGTGTGCCCTTCAGAACTAGAGAGACATGTCAGTGCATATTGCCACTTTGATTTTTCTCCTTAGGTCCAGAACCACTTCTCTGACTGCCTACTGGATGGTGCACTGGCATGCATTCTAC